TTATGAATGCATTTTGCTTTTTATATGAGAATCTAATCCATGCTCTATAGGAACTGAAGATGTGAGGCCAATGGAGGAGTCTTTGCTTTTTAAACTTGTTTATGTTTCAGTCCTGCAGACTCCATGAAAAAAAAACTAATTTTGGCCTTCTAGTTTTCCTAGGTTTAGCAGAGCTTCCCTATTTCTTCCAGCAATGCTTATACATACTTCAAAGGAGCATCAGCTGGCTAACTTTTCAATTTTTTTATTCCAGTTCTCTCTCTTTGTTTTAAAGGCCACACTCCAAGCTGAGTTGTCGGCCTTTTTTATGTTGTTTGTGTAACTTTTTCTCCTTTTATTTGTTTCATGGCCACACTCATGAATCAAATTGAGCGGTCGGCTATCTTTGTCTTTGTACCTGAGTAAATTCACTGCAGGAAAAGTGTTGCTATACTGAAGGATGGCAAGCAGCAGTGGTTCCTGACTACTAGAAGCAGAGCAGAGGCTGGGCCCTCGAGACTACAAGGTAAAGATTTTGCTTCACAGTCCAGTTATTTCTGTCTCTCCCTCCCTCCCTGTATCGCTTCTTTTTATCACTCTCTCATTCTCTACTTTCTCCCTCCTCCCATCCTTCCTCACATTCACCTATTTACAAATGTCAATGAAGTTACAAGTTTGATTTTTTAACATATGCTAAAAGATGCTGAATAACACATCTGAATGTTTAGATTCAACCTACTTTTAAAAGGAGAGATAACAGAGACTTGTTTTGTGCTTTCAGATGAGGTTTTGGTAGCCACTGAGACTGATGCCATTGATGTCACTGTTCCAGGCTACTTTGAAGGAAGCAAGCATATAAAAGAAGGAGAAGACAACTAGTCAAATAGGATTTGTATGATATCCTTCTATGCTAGTGGTATATATTAAGTTAGGGTGGGGGGATCTGAGCCAAGCTCTACTTTGGCTTGGCTCACTAAATGAGTTAATCGTAGGGAACGTTTTGGAAAATAAAGTGCCTTGTGACAGGTATCCCTAATAACATAGCACAAAAGTAGTTGGGTTTTGGGATAACAAGAAAAGTTCTTTAGCCAAATCATAGTAAATTTTCTTCACTGATATCTTGGCTGCTTTCAGCTTCCTTCATCAGGGTCAGTGAAGAAGTTGACTTTGGTTGTGCTGAAAGAACTTTATTTGTTCTTGGATAGAATTGCTAAGACTTAGAAGTAAGACACTGCTCCTGAGCTCACGGAGGATGACATCATCAGCATCGATGGACCACCAGAGACAGAGAGATATGAAATAGTTCAGGGCCTCAGGCACACGACTGTATTAGATTTAACTTGCAAGCAACTGTTTACAACGATTTTCTTCTCACTCTCATCTTGTAAGTGAGAAGGTGAGACATTGTATGGAACAGTGTTATGTCTGTTACTCGACCATCTTGTAAGGAGAAGATGGAACACTGAATGAGTAATGATTTCATCCATCTATTAGTAATGAAATAGATGGGACTTTTAGACCTTTATCATCATCATGTAGGAGAAATGGTGGAATTAATGTTCACATTAATTTCTTTTGTCCGTCTTACATGTGAAAAGGTGGACAAGTAGTTATTTCATCCATCTTAGTACAAAGATGGATTTTTTTCCACCGTCTTGTAAGAGAAAAGGCAGACAGTAATGATCCTGTGGACTGCAGCCATTCCTAAAGATGCCCACTACAAGGGACTACGACCACGCAGGAGACCAATGCCAACATTGAATAAAGATTTTGAATAAAGATTATGAATAAGTGTTTGAATAAAGATTCTGAATAAAGATTTTGAATGAAGACTTTGAATAAAGATCATCCTTCACATTGGAATACAAATTTGATAGAGCTTTCAAGTGCTTGAATTTGGTAAATTAAAAAGGCAGTTCTTCAACATGCCATTGTCCTGCTCTCTGAGTTCACATGCACTTTGACTTTAGATCAGGATCCAGACTTAAGGTGAGTTAAAAAGCAAATTAGAGCAGGGACGTAGTTAGTAAAAGTGTGTGATGATTCAGAGAGCAGGTCTTAGTTCACAAATTAATGGGGGTGGGTGGATGGAAGTCAAGCACAAAACTTCTTGTTTTCAAAAAATTTATAATTATTATATATAAACACAAGGCACACCCCAAATTTTAGCCTAGTCGACGATCTCAAGAGGACACCTGTTTTTATGTTAAGCCACTACGAAGATGCCAGAGGTGAGCCATGTAATTAAGGACTGCATGCGTTACTAACATGTGCTTTCTCTCCTTATACCACTTAATAAAGGGGGGGTCCTTTGCAAACCTAGTATCATCTAGGGTTAGGGCCATTCCATCTTTTGTGTTTTTACCCCATGATGGGAAGGGAACTGGGGTCCTTGCAACAATAACTGGGAATTCTTTTTAGTTGTTTGATACATGTAAGTTGCACTTGCGATTGAAATAAAGAAATGGTGTCTGAATTCTGTGGCGTGAGTTTCTTCGCGATTAGTTAGAAGACTTTTTCGCGGCTTTTTTGTGTCAATTTTTTTACACACTCTGTACGCTGCGGTTGAACTTGAAATAAAGAATTTCAAATAAAGAAACAGTCTTTGAATTCTGTGGTGTGATTTACTCGCGATAAGATAGAGCAACGACTTTTGGAGAGACAGACGCAAGTTTTGTGGAGTGACAATGAGAGGACAGGCTTGTATCTTCCAGGTAAACATGTAAGTATAAGTTTGCAACTTTTCTTACATTTTTTTATTTCTTTGAAGCTTTTCTAATATGTTTGTAGTTTCTTTTATTGCAGGTTGTTTCTTCAAAGATGTCTGTTTCCTGGCTACTAACCAACAGAATTGTTCCTGGACGGATGTCTCTGCATCGAGGCTACCTGAAGATTTGGACAATGGAAAACAAAGCAGATAAGAATCTTTGTTCTTTACAAATTGTGTTGATACTTTGCTAGAAATATGAGCCAAACGTAAAGACATTCTCCAAAGTAGGTGTGAAATAATATTGTTCTAATTTGGTGGGCTAAGATACAGAAGATTTGAAACAATGTTTGAATGATGAGTTTATGAATGGCATTTCCTTAAAAAGCTACACAAGCCAAGGGACATTACTAATACTATTATTTCTACTAACTTTAACAACTGTAAATTATGGGGGTTGATTTAAGTATTGGGAGAGTCTGTTGCAAATGTTCGCACTTTGTTGTTTTTCTGCAGGCACACTACCTCAAGGCTACTCAAAGGAGGGATGTCTAAGACATAAATGCAGAATTGAGACATCAGAAGACAGTATCTTATTCTATCTTTCTGTCTTCTTAATCTTTACTTTCTGACATGCCAGTAGTTTATCAGTGACACTCATTCACATCATTCTGGGACCAAAACCCCTGACCTCAGGAACATGCAACAGCTGCGCCTGCAGACAAAACACACCTTTCCTTTCCTTACTTATTTCTTTCTTCTTGATATACGATGATTCTTCAACAGTGACATTCATCTACAGCATTCTGGAATTGGAACCTATGCCCTCGGGAACATGCAGGATTTGACCCTACAGACAAAACACATTTTTCCTTTCCTTCCCTTTCTAAGCTTTATAGTTTCTTTTTTTCATTTTTTAACAGTGACATTCATCTACAGTATCTAAGTCCATGCCTTTCAAACATGTAGCACTGCACATACTGTATTAAAACTCTAACATATAATGCTTTACCTTTCACTTTATTCTCTAAATGTGAAGCTGCTTGAGATTTGGGCCAGCAACCTATGGTAAAATGACAGGTTTTTAACTTCATGTTTTCATTTCATATTGACTCCTGATTCTGCAGAACTGAATGTTCTAAAAAACAAATCCATTACCTTTCAGTACATCTTTGTAAGCACTTTGTGCTGCTCTTTTGGATATAAATAATCAACCACTGACAGAGTGACACTGATCATGATGCCTTTTTTTTAAAATCCCTCTTAGTGCCCAATGTGTACCTGCATGGGATTTGGACCAAGAAAACCTGGTAAATAATCTTCAAGTCTTTCAATTCATTTTGCAAAGAGATACCAGCAATTCAGCACCAAGGACAGGAAGGAAAGTATCCCAGCTGTCTTTTTAAAGTTCTACAGATTAATGCATTTTGCTGTTTCTAAGGATCTAATCCAACTTTTGTTTATCCAGAGAAGCCCTTTCACTCCAAGCTGGGTTGTCGGCTATTTCATGTTGTTTTTGTGAATTTTCTCCTTGCTTATGTTTCATAAAATAAAATACAATCAAATCAAATCAAATTACATGTTGAAAACTACATGTTGAGGACGACAAGGCACGTAAATTTGCTACTCTACTTGTGCATTTTTGCAAATTTTGAGATAAATAGGACAATTCTTTACTTACTTTTGGCTTTTATCTTCGGCAGCTCATAACTTCTGTCTGCGTAGGCGTAGAAAAATTGCACAACCACAGGCGTGACCCTTGATCTTTGCCCTTTCACATGATCTGAAAATTCTGATTCCCAGAACTCTCCTCGACCGGGAAATGAATTGGCTTTTCAGACGAACATCGGCGCGTCCGCCCGGGCGACGCGAAAACCGGTGCCACTGAAGCGGTGCCGTAAGATAGCGGTTTTTTCGGCCGTTTCCAAAAGTTTGCAGGATTGTCCCATACTGTTAATTTCGTATTTTGAAATAAAACTAAAGCAGTGTGATAGAAAAGATGCCATACGTCACGGATACCAATATTTCATTGAAAGTGTGCAAACGCTTTATTGCTGAAAGTCGTTTGAAAGATTATATCTGCCGAGCGCACCCCACGTTCCAATGGTGAAACGAGAAAGTGCGACATGCCTAATATTGACGATTTTTTACATGTTTGGAGAAGAAGAGGAAACTGAGCCAAAACAATATGTTTCCTTCTGCGAAGGCCACAGAAATACGATTACGTAGCTACCCAGTTAATAGGGTTAACATTACCATGAAATCATAAATCAACTACTAACAGCAAAACGACAAGCTATTTTAAGCGCCGTACTTGGTTTCCTGGTTAAGCTGAGTTGAAAGCCGAGTCTGGTGACAGAAATGTCTCTTGAGTTTGCCACGGTCATGATCATACTGATAGTTGTAACGTCAGAATCTAATGGAAATAAGAGGAAAATTACCCTATAAAGACTGTTTACTGTTTGTAAATCATTCGATAAAACAAGAAAACTCAAACATTATTGTAGTTTTAATAAGACAAACTCTGTAAATGTTAACACGTTAATGTTAAAAAATATTATGAAGTGTTGGACATTCGAACAAAAAAAATAAACCAAACATGCTACACTGCGATATACAATGTCAATATACGAATTTCCAAGAACATTGTTTCGGCTTGGGATTTTTGTAAACCTCCTTGTTTACACCAAATTCACAAATAGAATTACCTCGAGGTTCACATCTGCTATGGCCAAAGACACTTCAACGGCAGCAGACGAAAAAGAAGCGCCATGTAGTAGGCTCGGTGTAACTGTGAGGCATCTACGCGAAGCTCGAATGAAACAAGTAACTGCAGAACAAAATGGCTGACGGACTCGTTCCAAGCAGTACGTATGCAACACGTACTTGTAGCAACTACATTTAATTTACAGCTCCTATGTTTGTACTCAATTGGTAGAGTGCTCGCTTTGTAACCGGGAGGTCGTGAGTTCAAACCCCGGCCGGGTCATACCAAAGTCTGTGACTCTTTCTCTGCTTAGCAGTCAGAACATATGAGAAAGAGTGTGGGAAGGTCAAACGCACAGCACTACCAGCGGACAAGCCCCATGCTGTAGTGCATCGCCCAAGGGCTACTGAAATGGATATGGGCACCACCCTACGCTCTGCATAAGGGCACGGGAGACCTTTCTTTCTTTCTATATTTGTACCAGGCGACAACTATATGGCTAGTCACTAGTACCGCCATGTACACTTGTCATAGTTCCGAAGGCTAGCAAAGACAGCAACAGGTTATACTGAATAAATGTTACGTTCACTGGGTCTTTGTAACATAATGTTTACAGTGGCACTTGGAACAATGGCATTGCTATCACTTGTTCTGGTAACTGCTGCGTTTAAATTTATTGGTAGCAGGGTTGTAATGGTTTGCAAAAGGCGTGTGCATACAAAATACCCAGACTAGATTGCACTTAGAGATAAACATTACGTGACTGAGAGTCTTTTTATGACTTTATTTAAAGCTACATGTAAATATCACGTGAAATCGAAGGACCGACATGTGTGTGTGTGTGTGTGTGTGTGTGTGTACGTGTACGTGTGTGTACGTGTACATTGTACATGTGTGTGTTTGTAGGTGTGTAGTGCGTGTATGTATGTGTGTGTGTGTACGTGTGCATACATGTACATGTGTATGTGAAATGTTGGATTACGATAACTTCATCAAAGCATCTAAACACGTACTATAGCAAAAACATTCTATCTGCTAGTGAATGTTTCATATTCGTTTTCTGAGAAAGTGCAACAATTAACGTTAATAATCTCAATAACAGACCTATAACAAGAGGATCATAACAAGAGGGAAAACGAATTGATGCCTTTTCAAATCAAACCCTGTACACTTCAGTACTACACATAATTTTATATAGTTTACACATGTCCATCAGTTCAGTTCAGTTCAGGTCATCCTCTTTTGAGGTGCCATTCATAATGGCATACAACGCATTAACAACGCATCCTTCCTCGTTACTTGTGGCAGTTGTGATATAACCTGCAGACTCATAAAACATGTTGTCAACAGTACCTTCTTCCTCAATGGCTTGTTCATTCTTATTATTAGTATCTGAGACATTTATTTCCTTGTTTGGCTTGGCATACATCTGCTCTACATTTTCATAATCGGTTCTCTTCGTTGATGGCTTAGCATAGAGTTGTTCAACATTAGGGGTTGATTTCTTCTTGTTTGGTTTTGCGTGGAGATCGGCAATGTTGGCTTGGTCTGTGGGGCTGCAGTTCCCATCTGTCCGGTAGGTGGTGCTTGTGTCTGTGAGTTGAATGTTGGAGGAGGCTGTGGCATCATAGGTGTTGTTGTACAGACTTGTTGGTGGCCTCTTTCTGCCAAGAAGTATATGAAGGAAACTTTATACCACACAGTAATCACACACTTAGTATATATACATTCTCAATTGTATAAGAGTTTTAACTTAGGATAAGCAGTATTGAAGAAACCAAGAACATTATATAGTACACTCAGAGTCAGATATATAATGTCCTTGAAGAAACTGAGAAAGCTTATTATATCATGATAGCGTAGTATGAGATGGTTGGTCTTTTTTATCACAAGTTGTGTGGTTCAGTTGAACTTTTGGATCTAAAAAGTTAGATTGAAAAGTAACTTAATTCATAAAGTATCATAATGATTCTGCTGTATATATTATTTTTCACATATGCATGCACTTCACTGTTTCCAAGTCCACTCTGTGAAACAAGTCAACCAAAGCATTAAGCAAAGCATTGTATCATATCATATTACATTATATTACCTTTTTTTCCTAGAGGATAAAACCTACAATGCCAGCGACAATGATAGCAGCTGCTACACAGGCACTGGCCGAGGCTATGATAACTGTGTTATCAGGTGATGCTTGTCCTTAAAGAAGAGAAAATACATGAGACAAAAAAAATGAAAGAAAAAGACAAAAAATGAAAGAAAAAATAATAAAAGAGTTTGCATACAGTGGTCTGCTTCAGCATGGAATAAAAAGTTTACTTAACAAATTAAAATACATATCATATATATATGTAGGAGGCATCACCTGAATTGTTGACAGAGGCTGCAGCTGTAGTTTCTGTGATTGTTTCAATGGGAGTTGTCTCTTCTACTGGTATTGTACATGTATCTAAAAAGGTATAAATCCATGCATAAATCATAAACACAGACATCAACAAAGCTGGACAAGCATAAATGTGTCAAAGCATAAAGGACGTTTTATTTAAGGCCTCTACAAACACATTATGTGTTCTGTTGATAAGGCTACACCAAATGAAGTCAACTTACCAGGTTGGTTTATAATTAAAACAGTAGATATTGAACTTTTAATGAAACTAAGTTGCATTGTTACATTGGAAAACTTTAACAACTAGGGAGAAAAGGACTTTCTTCAACCGTTGGGGCCAAAATATGTCTTTCATTGTGCATTTTGCAGTTAATTCAGAACCTAAAATCTTTTTTTTTTGCAAATCAGAAAAAAATGGACAGGGCGAATCTGAGAAACAACAAATTAAATTGGTGTGGCCTAAACAAATGAATAATACTGATAACTAAGTTATTACATATTAAAAGTAAGATAAAGGTGAAAGTCCGTACCGCAGTCGTAAGTAATGAGCAGGGATTTTCTGTTGGAAACTGAACAGGGATCATCTTCAAAGACACCTCTGTGATTGTGAACTTGGCATGTGTAGAAACCATTGCACATATTCTGCATTTGGGCAGTGACGTTATAAGTGCAGTCACAGGAAGTGTAAAAGCCATAACAAGTTAAGCCACAGTGGATTTCAAGGTCTTTTGGACCGTAGAAGGCTGAAATGATGTTGATTCTGCCCTGCTCACTACACCGTATTGTGGCCTGATTGTTCTCACAGATCACTATTGTCTGTAGACCTAGAATTAAAGAATATTGAATACTTTAATAATTCAAAAAACAGGATGGATTGTAGCATGTTCTATGTACTACGTAACAGTAACTGTCAGTAACTATTCCTTATCTTATGATTTCAGATCATGCGTACAGCAAGGACCATTTAAGCCATAATGTAAAATAGAAGGAATACATAATATTTACAAATTCATAAGGTATCGTGATGTTGACTGACCGTGAAAAATGAAGGTTTAACTTTTCTAAGTTTTATGACTAAAATAGAAAGACTCATATTGAATTAAGAGGAGAAACAAAAACATACCTGGATTGTCTTGGGTGGAAACTCTGGCTACAGTCAAAGCCAAGTACAGAAAGAAGCAGTGAGAACACATTACACTCAGACCTGCCATTGCAGTCTACATTCTACTCTTGGCTAAAATATACTTCAGTCTGCTAGCAGAAATGAAGAAATGGTGATTTCATAAATTAAATGTTCCCCCCTTATAGGTTCTGACCCTCAATCGTTTCCGCATTCGGACTTACTTAGCAAATGTAACACGTGATACTGCATGTGTAACATACCATGTACATGGACAGGTCACCAGTTAGTAGCAGCTCAAAGGGTCAAGAGATGGACCCTCTGATAGTTTAAGAAAATTGCCTTGAAGTTTTTACTTTCTTCTCATCAACATCTAGTACTTTTTCTGACATATTGATAAGGTTGTAAAAATGCAAAGCAAGAAAAACACTCAAGCCATGTTAACATTTAATGCTGTATTGTCTGGACAATTTGATTGTTTAGCATTATCAAAGGCCAGATGTTATAGAAATGTCAGAGGTCATTTTGTGTGTGACTTGTGCAAGTTAATATGTGACAGTGCAATGCTATCTCAGACTGTTCATGTTGACATATACAGCCTCTGTATTGCCCCCATTCTATATACTGCATACTGTTACCCATTTCACTGTTGATATAAGTGAATATTGATGTTTACAGACAGACACGGTGGGCATTCATGATAACAAAAAGTTTTTAATTCATAAAACACCAAGTGTGCATTGTCTAATACACACTGTCAGATTTGACAAGGTGTCTTACTTGATTTGTTGTTCTTCTTTTCTTCTTTTACTTCCTCTCTGAAGGTTTAAAGTACTGTAAGCGTTTAGTGTGTGTGTGGCTCACAGTGTGTCCAATCCATAGCTTGCATGGACATTGTGATCTAACTAAGGCCACACCGATTTAATTTTATGGATGACATCTGCGCGCGCATTGATTTTCACCCGATCTCAAAAAAAAAAAAAAAAAAAGATCACGTCTTCCGAGGCTCTGGACTGGCTTTAGGCCTGGGTAGTCCATGGTGGTGATAACTCTGGTGGACGGCACCCAGGCTACGGAAGCCCCAAGACTCAAGAACTCAGTACATACGTACAGCAGTGTCGATTCATAAATTCCGCAAAAATCCAGCATGTGTCGGCCTGTCGTATACGTCGCTATGTAATGCGCCAAATTCACAACAGCAGCTTTGTATTCCTGTGGTTTTATATATATAATAGTAGCATTTTTATTTTTGGCTGGATTTTTCTTTTTTTCGCCCGCACGCACTAGTTTGGGGGTCTTCAGAGGATGTCATCCATAAAATTAAATCGGTGTGGCCTAAAGACTAAAACTATGTACAACAATTTTAGAAGTGAGAAAATCTCACAAGACAAGACCTTCTGAATCAGCTTCCTACGAAGTATACACTTTCATGCAGTACTTCCATACAACTCATTGTCAACATATCCTTCCTCACTGTCTGTAAATGTGATAGTACCAGTAGTCTCATACAGCATGTTTTCTACAGAACCCTCATCTTCATCGTCTAGTCCATTCTGACAGAAACTACTATTTGAGACACCTGTTGGCTTATGTGGCTTGGCATACATCTGATCAACATTTGCGTCATTAGGTCTCTTTTTCATAGGTTTAGCGTAGAGTTGGTCGACATTTGGCGTTGATTTCTTCTTGTTTGGTTTTGCGTAGAGATCGGCAATGTTGGCTGGGTCTGTGGGGCTGTAGTTCCCATCTGTCCGATAGGTGGCGCCTGTGTCTGTGAGTTGAATGTTGGTGGATGTTGTGACCTCATCATAGATGTTATTCAGAATGCTGGTTGAGTCAGGTCTCTTTCTGTAAAGAAATAGGTAACATTTCTATGACATACAGTCTGTGGTAACAAATTCAACAAGAATATTTCTGTGAATGGAGGAAAAAAAATATGTATTGTCTGATTGGCCTGAAAAGCATTCTATAAATGTCTGAATTATTAAGTTACATATTTACATAGCATAACAAGTATGGTACAATGCCATTGTTTGTGCATGTTACATATGGAAAAATTACAACTTAGTAATACCTTCTTTTCCAGAGAATAAAACCTGCAACTCCAAGTATGAGGATAAAAGCAACCACACTGGCACCGACAATGGCCCATATCACAGTGCCACCTGGTGATCCTTAGGAGAGGAAGCACTTTATGTGAAATTATATCACATAAACAAATTTTCAAAATCATTGGTGACAATACCATCTTTTAAAGCAGAGGAAAGGTAATTACAAATCCCTAACTTAGTACCCTTCAAAAAACTGCACAACTATACATGGAAAAATAATTATGTTAATCTTTTTAGATTAATAAATCGAAAAACAGGCCCAACACTTATATAATAAGAAGGCTCTAACTCTAATTTAAAAGAATTAAAAGAAAATCAGTATGTCAAAAGGATCGATTATCATACAATCATCATTTGAGAATGCTTACCATGGCCATCCAGGGCATCAGAGTTTCCCATCAAATTAGTAGTGACTTCCAATGTAGGTCCTGAAATGAAAATAATTCATGTCAGCAAAGCAGAAGCTAAAATCATGTTTTTAGTTTAACATCTTGAATTAAAAAATTATTTTATCTACAGTTAAATGTATTTTTCCCTGAATGGGAATATTTATCCACATACAAGACCTACATGTAGCTTACCCGAAGAGTCGATGTCTGTTGTTTCGACTGTTGTCTTAGGTTTTGTTGTTTGAGGCTGAATGATGGATCCTGTTCATAGATATGCAATAATAATTTAACGTTTTAAATAAATTTTTACAGTTAATTTTCTAAACTGTGTACACTTATATCATATTGGCCACAAGAAGTGCTTAAGCACTAAAGTAATCAGCCACTGTATTTATCTAATAAGCATTTTAAATTAAGTGACACTGTCAATTAATTGAATGTAACCATTAATTTTGTAGTCATACCCGTCAAACAGGTTTTTATGACACCTGAGTGTAACTGCTGGTGAAATAGATAAACTGAAACCATTGAATTTGGGTACATTATAAGTATCACCACAGAACATACAGCAATATATGATATGACATCACTTCCAATGAAATTGATGTCATGTACTAACCTGTGCTTTTAGTACTTGTAAAAGAAACATCAGTGATTACAGTTGAAGTGGTTACATAAACTGTTGTACTTGGCTGAGCTGTCCTTACTTCTGTTGTCAGCACTGGTGTCGAAGTCATTAAATGACAATATTTTTGGAAAAAGATTATATTATTATTAAGCCTTAAAGTCATATATGGAAAACAGTGAGATGCTATTTTTGTTTCAAGTATTCTTCAGATTTAAATCATGTCATCATCATCGCCACATTTTGTTCTTGGCTAACTGCCCATAATACTTACATGTATGTAAATCAGATGTACATGTATATTATAGAAACTTAAATGTACAGAAAAATCCCTTTAAGTTCAACTAACAGCTATTTTAGAATGGGTGTTATAATAATAAAAAAAAACAACTTCTGACCATGAAAAAATTGAAAACAAATTTACCATAGGCACAACTGTATGTGAGAATGAGGACTTTTGGCCTGCGTGGACAGGGATCTTCAAACACATCATTGTTACTGCTGACTTTGCATGTGTTTTTGCCATTGCACAAGTTTTGTACACGGGCTGTGACATCATCAGAGCAGTCACACCAACCAAAGATTCCAATACAAAACCCGTCACAGTGATTGCCATAGTCTCTTGACCCATATGAAGCTGAAATAATGTTGATTATGCCCAGGCCATTACACTGAATAGTTTCATCCTCGTCCTCACAGATGTTTGTCGTCTGTTGACCTTGAGTGAAAGAAGAAAACAGTATTCAAATTTAACGTCAATCAAACTATTTAACAGAAAAAAGTTAATACAAACAATAATTGTAAGGTGTTACAATTTTGACCAATTATTGTATTATGATGACCTCCACACTAGCTAAATACACATGATGATTGTGTAGAATATAGACCACTAGTAATATTTTTAGTATTCAAAATTTCAACAGGGTACTTCTTGAACAAGTTTAAGTACATGTATATGCATCAATGATGCTAAGTAATGCATGTATCTACAGGACTATTAGTTATACTAAATCTTTGTCCCCTTTTAATACACATAGTACTTTAGTTAGTACAGATGTACTTAATATACCAAACTAAGTCTAATATTACAAGCATCACAGTCAGTGCACTGTAGAGTAAGTGTTATTCATTTGCTTAATATCATAATTTAACATGCAAACCTTCTCTGTTGTCTTGGCAGGAAACTTGGACTAGAACCATGGAAGCCAAATACAGAACAAAAATGCCAGAATACCTCATTCGCACTTGCAGACTTTTCAGCGCAGTCATTGTCTACAAAATATTTTCAAACAACTAGACATAAAAGAGAGAGGAACTGTTAATTTCAGAATGGATTTGGAAACAAGGCTGTGTTCCTGCAATCATTTCCGTGTTAGTGCAGGACCAAATATTTGGGAAACGTCTGACTTTATCGGTTACATATTACATTGTGATTACAAGGGTCATTAAATGGGCACACTCAAGTGTACAATGTATGTACTTACATGCATATAAATTATATGTTCTACAATCATTATGATGATAACAACAGGTTAATGTTATTAAATGTTACAATTAAAACTTAATTAGATCATGAAATTGCACATTTGTACGTTGGTATAGACATGCTGACTATTATGGACGCTTTGATTGATGGCCAAAGGTCAATAACAGTGTATAAAATGTACGAGCAGGTTAATTTGTAACAACTCTGTCTCGTTCAGGCCAACGTGCACTTAAAATATCACCTGGTTGCTTTTTATTTGGTTCTCGTTTTGTATGTTCCCATTCGGGTAAAACACACATTTAAGTAAGATGATATTAGACTTTAGTGACCTTGCCAGCAGTGTGGATGCACCTTTGGTGTTCGAAATTCCTTATTGTTTTCAATTTCTCATGAATTAGAGGTGCTTTCAAATTAGTGTGTTTATTAAGAATAATAAGGATTGCAAACTTAATGCAACTGTGAATTTTCAGCAAATATATTTGGGATAAATGTTATCAAGGATTATGCTCAGTTGGATTGAGTTTTTGGCTTAAGTAATTACACTGACGGCCTGACAGAAATTCCTATTCGCCTGCAGCTATCATCATGGAAATATTATCAACTTCCTTTTGTTCAGAGCAAGTCACCTATTATTTAGGACCATGAGTGGATCAAATATCACCTATATAAATCATGTTTTTTTTATTCGGTAGATCACACAGGGCCAACAAGTCTTATGTTTCTACTTTATTCTTTTTACACAATTTTAATGATTATGACATGTTGTATTGAAAGAAGTTTGATGACACAAGATGGTGATACTGCAGCTATGAGTACAATTATCACACAGTCAGCTCTATATTTTGGTATACAGTTTTATTCCAATTTACTTGCTGCAGCTACATACTGTGAGGACATATCATAGTATTACACTGTCAGCGATAGTAGTGTGATCATCAAAGGAGGGAAATTTTGGCTATGCAAGTCCAGCCTAAAAGAGAAATGATCCAAAGTTTAAAGCTTTTGTATTAATTTGATAATTAACATTCATCACTTGTCTATTATTAATATCAGTAAGTATGTCTAATCTCATTAAAATACAGCACAAATCACAGCTGTAACTTGCAAGAGTTATTTGCTAATAGATTACTGAGTGACGTTACTTGACAATTGCTTTTAAGAATATTCTGAAAGAAAAAAGCAGTCCTGCTGTATTTAGTGATCTAATAACACTGCTAACGTACATTGCATTTTTGAACAGTTATACATAATGTACTTGATTGTCCAGAGGTTGACTCAATCTTATGAAATAGGAACAAGATAAATAACTGGCTTAGGGCCTGTATTTTCTGCATAAAACAGATTTTAGAAGTATTGTTAAAAACATGTGAGATATTGTCTACCCATACGGAAAAGTCACCTTTATCCCTTGCATATATATAAATGACTGCATAATGCAAATTGCACTGAGAGAGAGAGAGAGAGCAGTTGCATAAAGGCATAATGCTGGCAGAACATTGCATTCAACATATACTCTGAGAACAAATTGTTCAGGGCATGTGAAATTCTATGAACACTCAATCATTCATTTCAACGGGTTATTGCAGACTTATATTATTGTCAGGCCATTATATGTGATACTTGTATTGAATTTTGGACGTATATATTAACACTACATAGTAGTACTATTCAGAACTGCCACAAAATGTGGATTCCAAAATGATATTGTGCAAGGTTTGCTTCAGACCTACAGAGCTGCATCTGATTACCTCAAATTTACTAGTAGTAAATACTAGTCTAACACAATTATCTTTTATCATATGATTAAGTTTAGTGCATGGTCTTCTGGTGTACACTGCAGGCTATTTATCATTATATGATTATTATTATTTTGCCACCCATATGCATGTACATAAAGGTAGTGAGGTACACAGCATTACTTCTATCCCTATCATCTATGACATAATGTGTTTAATACTATAATTGTACTCTTTTGCTTACAGTAATTTAGTGTGTCTTGTTATAAATAATACTTGCAATTTAAACAGCCCTTAACAGCAAAAAGCAGTGTATCGGTGAGCACTTCTAAGTAGTACTAAGTTCATATCATGTAAAATAATAATGTCACCTTGTCAACAATCTGTATTAAATGCCAGATATCAGATGCCTTTCCCTGCCTCTTAAAATTATAACTGTTTTTTTTCTATTGAAGAGACTGGTTGACTTCATAATGTTGCCTTTAACTGTATGCATACTGTATGAATTTCAAAATGAATTTAAATCATACAGTGTTGTCAAGGTAAAAAAATTAAGTCTCACAAAACACTGACTTAGACAGTTTTAAAAATTGACCATACATGTAGGTCTAGATCCCTCTCTGTAACACACCTTGGATCTTCGAAATTCATTGTAGGTGCACCATGTAGGTGCACTGGTGCACGCAACCTTAAAAAAATTAGGTGCACAAAAATTGTTTGGGTGCACCATGTAAAACAAAACCTATTTTCAGGTCTTACTGCTCCTCTTCTGATCATGAGCTTGAATCTAAAATGAGAGCTAACTTTAAAATCTTAAACAAGTACTACAACAAAGATTTCATTATTTTTCTGATACTAGTACTTAGAGACCACGAATATCCAGTATATTATATTTCTCATGTAAAAAATTCCTACAGAAATATTTGGGTGCACTGGTGCACCCACAGAAAAAAATTAGATGCACAGCTCCAATTTTGGGTGCACATACACCCAGTATTTTGAGCCCTGCAATCCCAAAATGTCTTGATGCTGGCTGGCCTAGGGCTGGTTGAGCAATATTGGCCATACATGTACAAGTAAGATTAAATTTTGTGATACCACATTGTATACATTTGTACTAAGTTGAATCAATAAGTCAAAGAAATGATAAGAAATGGATATTG